GGGTTGTCCACCATGCTGGTTTTTGATTGGCTATGATTTCTGAAAAATGAGAAAGTCCCCCATGCTATTGCAATAAATTTTTTATTTAAACTTTCAACAAAAATTTCTCAATAGCCACTAATTCAAATTCGATAAAAATTTTTTTTTAATTCTGTAAGCTTATAAAATTAAAAAAAAAATGTAACTAAACATTTTAAAAAAAAATAAACCGCAGCTTCTTTTTTATAGGCATCTAAACTTTGAACAAAGATTACTTGGCATTTCACTTGATCAAATTTGTTCAAATTTTTTTATTTTATTTTAATTTTTAAAGTTACAAAATTAGAATAAAAAAATTTTGATTGAATTTGATAAAGTAGTCTTCGTTCAAAGTTTAGGCACTATAAAAAAGAAGCTGCCGCTAATTTTTTCTAAAACTTTAGTAAAATTTCTCAACAATCATCTATCTAATTTCGATAAATTTTTTTTATTTTAATTCTATTAACTTACAGAACTAAAAAAAAATTTTTATTGGATTTGAATCGATGCATTTCGAGAAATCTTTATTTAAAGTTGAAAAAAAAAAGAAAATATATCCCGATTTAATTTTCATTTTTTATAACTTTAAATAATGATTTCTCAACAACCATCTATCCAAATTCGATAAATTTTTATTTATTTATTGCGGTTTGCATAATTTATAATCCATATGATTAATTTAATCCCTAATTTTTGCAAATCGCAATAATTAGTTGCACCTACAGTAATCAATTAGTTGCAACTAGTTGTTTAGCTAAAAAATAATTGCTCAACTAATCGATTAAAAAAATTTGACGATTTATAGCACTAATTAAAGCATCAGTAAATTATATTAGATCACATGTAAGCTAATATTTATATGTAAAAGGTTATTTTTTAGGACAGACAAAACCAAATTTAATATCATAAATTTAGCTTGGACAAGCGATGCTGTGCATTTATTTAATGTTATAATAATAAATTAATAAGTAATCTTTTTATCACAGACGCTAACATTACAAAGTGAATTTAAAGACAAATATTTATATGCTTAAGATGTTGAATTTAATACGAAGATCAATGAACATTCTTAAATATAAACGATTATGTCATTATGTTGCGTAGCGGTAACTACTATCACCATGACTATAGATGGTAGTGAAATTCTTGATTTTTTTTAATTTTAACAACAATTTCAATAATAATTTCAACATTTTTTAAATATAAATTAAAAATAAACCAACTATTGTACTTGATTTAGTTTAGATTTAATTAATTATTGATATAATTTAATTAAATTCTAAGAATGTTGCTAACTTGCCCCTCTGGTGATTTAACCACCCCACAATTTACCAATTATGTCACAGGATCTTGTATAACAAAATAAAGAAATTTTTTAGAAAAAAATTAAAAAATAACAATATTTTTTCAAGATAAGCTATTAAGTAAAAGTTTTCAACACCTAATTTTGCATATAAATAAGCTACATGTCAACTTAATATACCGTATTTTCGCGTAATAACGCGCAGGGGTGTAATTTCGAATTTTGGCCCGAATTAAGTTTAATTCGGGCCATTATTCGAAATAACGCTCATGAGCGTTATTACGCGAAAATACGGTAGCTAGTATTATAATCTTAATCTTTAAAGATTATTTATTTATATAAAAAAAGTCTATAAAAATAAAGAGTGGTTAAATTTTATAATTTTAACCAGGATTTAAAATTAGTTAAATTCAAATTCTAAATTTCACCAATTTCAAAATCGAATAATTTCAACAATTTCGTTAAAAAATTTTTATTAATGGTAATTTCACCGCCATCAATAACCATGACAATAACTGTAAGAAAAAATATATGTACTCTATTCAGTGACCTTTACATAGAGTCAATTCTCACCCTGTATCGAACTTTTTAAAAATTTCTTATAGAATTCGATATGAAAAAAAATAGTAAATTACTCTAAGGAAATTCTGTAAATTTTTTACTTAATAACTGCCAGATTGTTACAAAAAGTATTGACTAATTATGTTTGATTTTAATCCTGAACCTTCAAGATGATAAGCATCAAGTTTATATAAATTCTTACTGTACTGCATTTTTTAAAATTTTTGCCAAGGCATTCAATACTCGTGTCAATTTACGATTCTGATTTCCAGAGACCTTATAATGCCTTTCTCGATACTTTAACGTTTTTCTCTCTTCCTTTTTTACATTTTGTAAATACTGACCGATATTGGGTAGGTTATATAGTTGTTGTACAAGACTAAATATGTTCTCAATAGATGGTGAGCATGATGGAGGCTCACCGTTTTCAATCTTATTTTTAATAGCTTTTACCTTTTCATCATACTTTCTTTTTGTCTCTTCAAGCCCTTCAAGGATCTCATTATTGTAATTTTTAGAAGAATTTTTTTTCTTTTTTTCAAGACATATAATATAATCAAGATATTCTGCATAGGTATCATTAAAAGTGGCTATTGCATTTTGCGTTAGAAATTGGGTGAATTGAATCACAATATTGTCAACAGTATTTTGTTGTACTTTTAGCTGGTCGATCTTTTCTTGGAGCATTTTTATATGGTTTTGCTTGTCTATTTGATCTAATTTATTTTCAGAGATTTTATTTTCTATATTTTTATCAAATTTTTCTGAATATTTAGATATGCTCTCATAAAAAATAGCTTTATGTTTTTTCGCAGAGCAGCCACAGGATTTACACTTTCCAAATATCATGACACCATTGCGCTTCTGCATAAATGCGTTTAGCATTTTCCATTTAACATGACAGCTTTCTGCTGTTTTATCAACATCTGATTTTTTACAAATGCTATTCGTGCATACAACTCTGGGACGTTCCAGCTGATTTAACTCAAGCTCTATATATGGAATGTATAGCTTGCTTTTAAACTCTTCAGCAGTTATATCAGATCTTTGTATTTCTTTTTTTAGCTTTTCAACCTGGACAATATTTTCTTGAATATTTAGGATTACTTCTGCAAGAGGTTTATAAAGAATCATCACTATTTGTCTAGCATTATTAAGTGATATAGTATCAATAATTTTGTGAGGTGTACAGTTTATTACGTGTTCAAGTAGTCTCATAGATTCATTCGCAGATTTTTCCCAACTAGACGCGAAAATTTCCTTATCTGTAAATGACATCCCTTTCTTAACTGCTGCTAGAAATCTAAATGATTCGTTATCAAAGCAGTATACTGTATCCTTACAAATCTTTATCTCAATATCAGACTTTTTTTGAATTTCACTAAGTTGTCTTTTTAGCACTGGTAATGTATCGCCTGGACGAAAGAACGTTCCTCTTGTATTAGTAAAACAGAAAACAATATTATCCTTAGCATTTTTATGAAGGTGTGATAGTAATTCTTGTATGCAATATTTAAATATTATATTCAGCCGTGCATTATTAGGCTTAAGGAGTATGCAAATTCCATTCAGATAATCATATTGGCTAATGCAATTTAGGATATTTTCAAAATTTTTCTTATCATGTTCAATTCCTCTGGTATCTCCTATACCAGGTGTATCGATCAATCTTATAACTTTGTTTTCATCTACAGGGAACACATATGCTTCACATTCTTGAGTAGATGATTCGCCTACGTTATCAATTAAGTCATCGTTGTCTTCATCTTCATCATTATCATTTTCACTAACTACTGATATCGTCTTCATTTCGCAATCTTCGTTTGTTATCGTAAATCTACATGTGATTAATACATTTATCTCCCCAGAAATTGCCTCATCTAGACTATTAAATTTAAAATAATTTGCAAATGCATTTATAAACGTAGATTTTCCTGCTCCAGTTTCACCGAGCAATAATATGTTTACTTCTTCTCGCGAGGCTACAGAAGCTGCCATAAATAGATGCGAAAATTGTGAAATTATGCAGTTTAAATTAAGATTTCGCCCTCAACACATTAGCTTTATTGTTTATAAAATTATAATTTTGAACAATATAAATTTATTGTAAATAGGAATTTGCCAGCAAAAATTATTTTTAAATGACTTTTATAAACATAAATTTTCTAATAAAGGGCTAACAGTTTTAGCACTTAGGCTCATACATTGTACGTACGTACGCACATATGTATTATAACATTATTGGAATAAATAATCATGCCATATTAAAATACAGATTATCATAATAAATCTTGTGCTGAAGTCTGTTACGCATATTGCCCAAGTAACAGTACTATACGTAGTACTGTACATAGATTGCAGAAATCTAACATATCCTCATTACAAGACGCTAATCTATTCGTACGTTATTACTGGAAATCATTTCTCCGAATAAATGCTGCTCTCAGTAATAACTATTCGTGGAAAATTATATTTCTGAATAAATGAAAAGATAAATTTGGAATATCTTCAATGACAATTTGTGTCGCAGCGCAATATTTATTTATCAAGCTGTACGTATGTAACTAAAGTACGGAAAAAAAATTCGATGTAAATAAATAATACATTGATGATATACTAAATTTTCTCTTAATTATCTTTAAAGAAATAATTTTCAGTAGTACATGATTGAATAGTATCATTAAGAACGAAAATTTTGGTAATCTTAATGAGGACTTGTATTTCCTGCAACTTACAGCACTTCGCATAGTCATATGAACAATACAGATACGTACTACGTAACAGACTTTTATTTGTGATAACTTGTATTTTTAAGTTGGTATGATTATTTGTCTAATATTCCAATTTATTCTAATATTCCAATAACGTATATGTAGTACGTATAGTACATATCTGATATGTATGTACGTACTTAAGTGCAAAATTGTCTTAACTTTGTTGTTGAATTTTATTAGAAAATTCAATAAAAGTGATATAGTAACAATTTTTGTTATATACGTAGCATAATATTGAATTTACAATTCATAATATTCAGAACTTTAAAGTTAACGTGTTAAACTAAAATTATTTAATCTTTTAAATAACGTAATCACGTAACTTCACATACTTTGGCACATATATGGCAGCTTCGAAAGAAGAAATAAACATCCTATTACTCGGTGAAACTGGAGCAGGAAAATCTACATTCATAAACGCCCTCGCAAATTATTTTAAATTTAATAGTTTCAATGATGCAATTTTCGGTGACATAGACGTATTAATCACATCCAGATTTACGATAACAAACGATGACTACGAAATGCAAACGATAACGGTAACTAGCGAAGATGAAGATGAATATTACATAGTGGATAAAGTAGGGGAGTCATCTACTCAAAAATGTGGTGTTTACGTGTTTGAAGCAGATGGAGGTAGAGTTATAAGATTGATTGATACACCTGGTATAGGCGATACCAGAGGGATTAAACACGATGAAAAAAATTTTGAAAATATCTTAAAGAATATAAGTCAACACGAATATCTGAATGGGATCTGTATACTCCTTAAACCTAATAATGCACGAATGAATATAACATTTAAATTTTGCATACAAGAGTTATTATCACATCTTCATAAAAATGCTAAGGACAATATTGTCTTCTGTTTTACAAACACGAGAGGAACATTCTTTCGCCCAGGAGATACACTCCCAGTATTAAAGAGACAACTCCAGGAATTTAAAGAAAAATTTGAAATCGAAATAAACATTCATAAAGATATTATATATTGTTTTGATAATGAACCATTTAGATTTCTGGCAGCAAATAAGAAAGGAATGAAATTTACAGATGATGAAAAGGAAAACTTCGCATCTAGTTGGGAAAAATCTGCGAAAGAATCCGAGAGACTTCTTAGGCACATTAAAAACTGTACACCTCATAAAATAATTGATACAGTATCACTCAACAATGCCAAACAAACAGTGCTATTACTTCGCGAACCTCTTGCAGAAATAGGCAAAAATATCCAAGAAAACATTGTTGAAATTAGAAAGCTAAAAGAAGAAATACAAAGAAATGATTTCACTAATCAGGAGCTTAAAAATAAGTTGTATGTTCCACATATAGAGCTTAAGATAATACCATTAGATCGACCTAAAATTGTATGCAACAGTAGCGAATGTCAAGCACATTATATCGGTACAACAACGAGAATCTGCCATGTTAAATGGAAAGACTTACACAAATATATACTAGATCTTTATGGGACTATGATTTTTGGAAAATGTGCATCCTGTGGTTGCCCTGCGAAAAATCATAAAATAATTTATTATAAGAGCATAACTGAATATTCAGAAAATATTGATGAAAATGTAGAAAATGAACTATCAGAAAACAAAATAGAGCAAATTTACAAACAAGATCATATAAAAATGCTCCAAGAAAAGATCGACCAACTCAAAGAACAACAGGATAAAGTCAATCAAATTATAATCAAGTTTACGCAATTTCTAATGCAAAATGCAATAGCTGCTTTCAATGATGCATATGTGGAATATCTTGATTATATTATACACCTTGAAAGAGAGAAGGCTAATACTTCCGAAAATTACGACAATAATATTCTTGAAGCGCTAGAGGAAATAAAAATAAATTATGACGAAGAGGTGAAAGTTATTAAAGAGATGATTGAAAATAATGAGTCCTCCTCGTGCTCGCTTTCTTCTGAGGACATACTGGAGCTTGAACAACAATTATATGACTTACCAAATGTCGGTAAATATTTACAAGCTATAAAAGAAGAAGAGAAAAAAGCATTCAAGTATCGAGAAAGACGTCACAAACTCACTAACATGCTGAATTCCTTAACAAAAGTTTTTACAAAAGCAAATATATGGAATTGTAGTTGAATAAAACTTTTATAAATACACGATTCACATGATTGCATTACTTCCACTATTAATTACTGACGAGCTATTTAGGCCAATTGACATTAGTTATGTTAGATGTCGCTTTCAAATGATTATCAAAAACATTATAATCTTTTATTTATTTATTTATTATTTTCTTTATAATATGTCTTCGAACTTCATTAGCTTTTCAATTTTTCACCTTAAACCTTTGAAACTTATATAAATAATCAAAAATAATAATAATAACAAAAAAATAAAAAAATAAATAAAACAAAAACAAAGGACATATAATAAATTATTTAAAATACAGTTTAAATGTTAATTAGTTGTTTATAAGAACCATCAAGTAAATATAAAAATTTAATCTTAAATATTCGGTTTATAAATAGTCAAAGATGGAATTATCAATGAATTAAATATTTATACCAGGAACGAATGCATATTAGTGTGTGTTTTTATAGGTGGTGTTCTAGGTTGAGAGAGCGATGGGCGTATATGCACAGGTTAGCCCTGATGGTTAACAGGTGATAAATATATACGAAAAGCATGTGGATGTTATTAATGAAGGGTTTCGAGACATCTCCCGTTACATAAATCTAATAGTTTGTTATGTTTTTAAATCGATAAACTCTCTCAAAAAAAAAACTCTTTCCGGTTCACCCCTGAAAATCATTGACAATAGTAAAAAGTAAACAAAATCCCTGCAAGTTTTT